TTTGAATCAAATGGTGACATTTACTTGTGACTTGATCAAAAGGTGACATCTGATTTGTTCTTTATTTAATTTTGTGTAAATTTTAAAACATACATGAAAACTTTTAATACCTTGTAATCTATGTCTTATTAACCCATAATATTAAAAACAAAAAAAAAACAAAACACATAAAGTTCAACAAAAATATTTATTTTCTTAATTTATTCATATAATTAAAAAGTGTAAATGTCACTTTCTGTTCCTAACCTCCTCAAATGGGGGCGCTAAAAAGAATTTATTCTCAAAGTGGGCAGTAGACAAAATAAGTTTGGGAACCGCTGCTCTAAACTGATTGTGTGTTATTCCAGAACCAGATCGACCAGGTGACGATGGAGCTGGGCACGGAGAAGGCGGCCACGCAGAAGCTGGAGAGCAGCAAGCTGGTGCTCGAGCGCCAGAACAAGGAGCTCAAGGCCAAGCTGGCTGAGCTCGAGACCGCCGCGCGGACCAAGACAAAGGTTCGTATGACATTTATCCCAACTTAATATTATAAATGCGAAAGTAACTCTGTCTGTCTGTCTGTCTGTCTGTCTGTTACGCTTTCCCGCTTAAACCTCACAACCGATTTTGATGAAATTTGGCATAGAGATAGTTTGAGTCCCGGGAAAGAACATAGGATAGTTTTTGTCCCGGTTTTTGAAACAGGGACGCGCGCGATAAAGTTTTTCTGTGACAGACAAAATTCCACGCGGGCGAAGCCGCGGGCGGAAAGCTAGTAATAATATAAGCCTTTATTACTGAATTACAAGGTATTTTTTAACATTAACATTTCATTTTACAATTTCTCATCTCCAGTTTGTCCTTGGACATAGGCCTCCTCCAATGATCTCCATGCTTCTCTGTTTCTAGCCATTTGTGGCCATAATGGCCCTGCTAATTCGCGGATATCGTCCTCCCATCTTTTCGCTTGTATGCCTCTGCTTCTTTTTCCTTCACGGGGATACCATTCCGTTACGGCTCTTGTCCATTTCTCTTTCTTTTCCCTCATTAGGTGTCCCGTCCACTTCTATTTCAACTTTCTAATTGTTGCAACAACACTTCTGAATTTGGTTTTTGATTTTATTGTGTTTAGATTTATCTTGTGTTTAAGTTTCACTCCTAATACACTTCTCTCCATTCTATTTTGGCATACTTTTAACTTTTTAAGTTGTTGCTTTGTTAGTGACCAGGTTTGGCAAGCATATGTGAGGCAGGGTAGTATACAGTATACGTGAGGCAGGGTAGTATATATCGAATGACGTTTACTGCTGGACAAAGGCCTCCCCCAAGGATTTCCATAACGGCCGGTCCAGCGCTGCACGCATCTATTTCCCACGACGTTCACCAGATCATCGGTTCACCTAGTGGGGCCTGCCCATCGTCTTCCGGCTCATGAAGACCAAGGTACTGTCTTATTTTACAACAGCTAATATCAAAAGGAATTCCCAACCTATCTGGTTAGCATGGGGAGTATCCATCAAATCCTCTTCATCATTATCATCATTTCAGCCACTGGACACGTCAACTACAGAGGCCGTCCCCTATGATTACCGAATTGATCGGTCGTCTGTCCACTTTGTGAATGGACGTGTCAATGGATGCTCCTCCATTTGCCTCTGGTAATTTAGAGAAGATTGTTTTTGTGCAGTGATGATAATGAATAGAAAAACCATTGTTGGAGCTTAGTTTTGTAGTTTGTAGTTTTGTAGGATCTTGAAAATAGGGGCCTTTTCAATAATTAGCCATTCTTCGGTGAACATTGGGTTTTACTTCGGTTTAAACAATATTATAGTTACATTACAGAAAATAAAGTCTTGTTGGCGGTAAAAAAAATGGAAGCGACGCTTCGTTTGGCGGTCGTCGCATAGACAAAAATTCTCTCGGCTCCATAGACCTCTTTCTATGGAGCATGCTTGATTATAATAGGGGGCGCTAGCGTGGCCGGTGGTGGCGCTGATGTAGCAGCGCGAACAACCATAAAGCCACTATCAATACTATCATGGTTATCCTAATTCATCCGTACAACCAAACTGTGGAATGGACTGTCGTCTGCGGTGTTTCCGGACGGATACGACCTGCAAGCTTTCAAGAGGAGAGCGTATCTTTACCTTAAAGGCCGGCAACGCACCTGTAACGCCCCTGGGTCTGCGGGTGTCTATGGGCGACGGTAATCACTTACCATCAGGTGATCCGTCTGCTCGTTTGAAAAAAAAAATAAAAAAAAAAATCCCAATTTCTTCTCAACTCTACATACCTAATATCTTTCAGGGCGTGATCACATCCCTGGAGCTGAAGGTGGCCAACCTAGAGGAGCAACTAGAGGTGGAATCGCGTGAGAGGCTGGCGCAGCAGAAGGCTTCCCGCAAGCTCGACAAGAAGATGAAGGAGCTCGCGCTGCAGCTGGACGAGGAGCGACGCCACGCAGACCAGTACAAGGAGCAGATCGAGAAGGTACGCGACTGTGGACCGTAGGCAGCAGACATAAGGCTCACTCTCACGAGGCAGCAGGCGTCGCGCAAGCTCTAGAAGGTATTTCATCATCATTTCAGCCATAGGACGTCCACTGCTGAACATAGGCCTCCCCCAATGATTTCCACTATAGCCGGTTGGTGGCGGACTGCATCCAGCGCCTTACCGCTACCTTTATGAGGTCGTCCGTCCGCCTTGTGGGTGGACGTCCTACGCTGCGCTTTCCGGTACGTGGCCTCCACTCCAGAACCTTGCTGCCCATCGGCCGTCAGTTCTGCGTACTATGTGCCCTGCCCATTGCCACTTCAGCTTGCTAATCCGTATTCCGAGAAGGTATTTAGAGTGATAGATATAAGGTTCATTTTATACGAGTATATCAACTGGAAGATGATGCAATTCTTTTCGCCAAAGCTGTGCGGTGCGGCGTTTATCAACCGTAGTACAGTCGCGCATACTGCAATACTTCGGACATGTCTCAAGGCCGGATGACAACTCCATAGAACGACTGGTCGTCCAAGGAAAAGTCGAAGGAACCCGGTCGCGTGGCAGGTCACCAATGCGCTGGACCGACCAAGTGAAATCGGCAGTGGGAGACGGCGTATGTGACTGCACCAGTCTGCCAATAGAGAGAGATGGCGGGAGATCGTGCGGAGAGTTGTATCCGTCTGCAACCGATGTGAGCAACGCCTCAACGTGACCACGACCGCTCTGCCAAGAGCGTTACGAATAAGAAGAAGTGCGGTGCGGCTTAGAGTGGGCTGGAATAGTAAGCATGGGCGTCTTGGCATAAAGCGAATGACGTCTGCTGAATAACGGTGGACGGGACTCTCCACACTAGCGTCTTTCAAGCTTCGTTGTCCCGTCAGCGTCTGCGAAGCACCTTCACCACGACGTCAATGCTGGGCGGCTGTCGAACAACGCAACTGAGGGAGTTGTGTTACTTGTCCGAAAAAACGTTGTGGCGTCCCACGTGGACGCCGCGCGGGCGCTGGCAAGACGACGACGCTCCAAAGACTAGTGTATTCCCTAAAACAGTTTTAATTATTATTTTTTTAACATCCTTTATTCATATTTTTTCCCAACAACAGTGTACTTGTATAAAAAGGGAAACCTGTCATTGGCTATACTATCAGTCTTAATCTTATAACTAAAATTTTCAATGTACGAGGGCGGCACTGAAAATTTCGGGAATCAAGGAATTGAAACAACATTACTATTTAAAAATGTATTTATTGCTTTTTAAAGTATTCTCCGCGAACTTTGACACATTTTTCCATACACGAAACCAATCATTGAAGCAACCATTGCATTCGGAAGTTTGGGTCTCCAAAATGGCCGTTTTGTAGGCTTCCACAGCTTCTTCAGGCGATGAAAATCTCTGACCACGCAATTTATTCTTAATTTTAGGGAAAGTATAGAAATCATTAGGGCTTAGGTCGGGGCTGTACGGCGGATGGACTAATAATTCTATGTTTTCTTGCTCTAAAAACTCTTTTGTTCAGTGCGCGGTGTGAGAACTCGCATTGTCGTGATGGAGGATGATGCGGCGGTTGCAGTTCTCTTTACGGAGTTCAGAAACGACCTGTGGCAAACAAATGCTAGCATACTAATCTGCATTAACCGTTCTTTGTCCCCCAAGAGGAATAGTCGCAACATGGCCGGTTTTGGAGACAAACGTGGCCACCATTTTTTTTGCAACACTCCGTGAACGAACAATTTTTGTTGGCTTTAATTCATTTTCGAACACCCAAACTCGTGACTGGTTTTTTGTTTCGGGTTCGTACGCGTATATCCATGATTCGTCACCTGATACGATGTTGTATACAGCATTTGAGGATCCTGCATGTAATCTCCCGAGAGTTCTGACGCACCAAGTAACGCGAGCCGCTTTTTGCTCTTCACAGAGCGAATGCGGTATCCATCGGGAAAACAACTTTTTTACACCTAATTGTTCATGCAAGATTATTTGTATTTGACTCATGCCAATGTCTAAAGTTGCCTGAATTTCGCGGTATATCACATGTCGATCTTCTTCAATCAGCTTACGCACAGCATCAACGTTTTCTTAGGTGACTGCAGTTTTTGGACGACCTTGACGGGGATCATCACTGAGCTTGACACGTCCACGTTGAAATTCAATAAACCAGCGATAAATTGTGGTTTTGGATGGGGCTTCATTACCAAATGCAGAAATCATCCGGTCAACACACTGTTTTTGTGTTAAACCACTTCAAAAGTCATAATAAATCATCGCTCTTGAATTTTCTCGAGTCAATTCTATTTTCTCAACGACTAAACAAGTTTGACAAGACCTTGTGATACGACCGAGAATCTTTTTTTAAATAAATAAATGGTATACGATTTTTAAAACCCTGGAGTTTGCAATTAAATAGATTTTAATATGACTGGAACAGTGGAAATATTCCATTCCCGATACTTTTAGTGCAGCCCTCGTATCGCTGTTGGTTTCTATAAAATAAATAAATAGGGTAGTAGACACACATCAACCTTGTCTTGCCATCGACAGATAGCGGTGCGTATTTACAAACGATGCTCGCTTAAGTGAAGCAAAAAATCAAACGCTAAGCGTTGAATAGAGCTTGTGATTGGTCATGTGTCACCCTGTGCGTCCACGCGCATAGTAAGACCTCATAGTAATGTTTGTGAATACGGGCGTAAATCACGATGCAATGTGGGCTATTGTTTTTATACTTAACAGTTGGCACCCCTGGCGATTGACAGGACCTTACTTTACAGTGGCGCCATCTTGATGAGTGCAAATGCGATAGTCCTCCTACCACTTTCGCGCTCACCAGTTGGTGCCACTGTCTTCGCTACTAGCAAGTGACAGGACCTTACTCTACAGTGGCGCTAACTGGTGAGCGCTAAAACGATAGCCCTCATTGCCATAAAATCATTGTGTTCCATTCTCTACAATGTGTATTTTCTACAGATGAACGGCCGCGTCAAGGCGCTGAAGCGACAGCTAGACGAGGCCGAGGAAGAAGTTCAGCGTGAGAAGGTCGGCAAGCGCAAGGCTCAGCGCGAGCTGGAAGACTTACTGGAGACGCACGAGACGCTCTCGCGCGAGCTAAACAACGTCCGCAATAAGCTCCGGTGAGAATAATAATATTTAAAGCTGTATAATAGTTGTACCTCTGCTACACTAGCGCGGTCGCTAGGAGATCGGTATCTTCAAACAACAGATCTGCTAGCAACCAGTCCCTAGGTCTAGTCCCCGAGCAACAAGTTCTTGAGCAACCAGTTCCTATAGTCTGGTCCCCGAGCAACACAGGTCCCTGAGCAAAACAGGTCCCTGAGCAACCAGTCCCTATAGTCTGGTCCCCGAACAACAGGTCCCTGACCAATCGGTTTCTATAGTCTGGTCCCCGAGCGACAAGTCCTTGAGCAAATATTCCCCATGGGCTGGTCGCCGAGCAACAGGTCCCTGAGCAACCAGTCGCTATAGTCTGGTCGCCGAGCAACAAGTGCTTGAGCAAATAGTCCCCCTGGGCTGGGTCCTCGAGCTACAAGTCCCTGAGCAACCAGTCTCTATAGTCTGGTCCCCGAGCAACCAGTCTCTATAATCTGGTCCCCGAGGGACAAGTACTTGAGCAAATAGTGCCATTGGGCTGGTCCTCGAGCAACCAGCCCCGGAGCGACTAGTCTCTCAACGACGTTTTCTCGAGTGCAAGAAGGTCGGCAAGCGCAAGGCGCAGCGCGAGCTGGAAGACTTACTGGAGACGCACGAGACGCTCTCGCGCGAGCTAAACAACGTCCGCAACAAGCTCCGGTGAGAATAACGTATTATAATGGCGACCGATCTCCGAGCAACCAGTACTTAGCTGTGGTGCTCGGGCAACCGGTCCCTGTAGTCAGGTCCCCGAGCAACAAGTTCTTGAGCAACCAGTCCCTAAAGCCTGGTCCCTAAGCAACAGGTCCTTGAGCAACCAGTCGCTATAGTCTGGTCCCCGAGCGACAAGTCCTTGAGCAAATAGTCTCCATGGGCTGGCCCCCGAGCAACATGTCCTTGAGCAACCAGTCGCTAAAGCCTGGTCCCTAAGCAACCAGTCTCTATAGTCTGGTCCCCGAGCAACAAGTCCTTGAACAAATAGTCTCCTTGGGCTGGTCCTCGAGCAACCAATCCCTGAACGACTAGTCTATAAACGACTTTTTCTCGAGCGCGAGAAGGTCGGCAAGCGCAAGGCTCAGCGCGAACTCGAAGATCTACTGGAGACGCACGAGACACTCTCGCGGGAGCTTAACAACGTCCGCAATAAGCTCCGGTGAGAATAATAATATTTAAAACTGTATAATAGTTTTACCTCAGATCGGTATCTTCAAACAACAGATCTGCTAGCAACCAGTCCCTAGGTCTGGTCCCCGAGCAACAAGTCCTTGAGCAACCAGTCCCTATAGTCTGGTCCCCGAGCAACACAGGTCCCTGAACAAAACAGGTCCCTGAGCAACCAGTCCCTATAGTCTGGTCCCCGAGCAACAGGTCCCTGAACAATAGGTCCCTGAGCAACCAGTCCCTATGGTCTGGTCCCCGAGCAACAGGTCCCTGAACAATAGGTCCCTGAGCAACCAGTTCCTATGGTCTGGTGCCCGAGCAACAGGTCCCTGAACAATAGGTCCCTGAGCAACCAGTCGCTATAGTCTGGTCCCTGAACAAAACTGGTCCCTGAGCAACCAGTATCTATAGTCTGGTCCCCGAGCAACAAGTCCTTGAGCACCCAGTTCCTATGGTCTGGTCCCCGAGCAACACAGGTCTCTGAGCAATCAGTCCCTATAGTCTGGTCCCCGGAAAGTCCTTGAGCAAATAGTCTCCATGGGCTGGTCCCCGAGCAACAAGTCCTTGAGCAACCAGTTCCTTTGGTCTGGTCCCCGAGTAACAGATCCCTGAGCAACCAGTCTCTATAGACTGGTCCCCGAGCAACATGTCCTTGAGCAAATAGTCCGCATGGGCTGGTCCTTGAGCAACCGGTTCTTTGAGCAACCAGTCCCGAAACTACTGGTCTCTAAGCGACTTTCCCGACCAACCGGTCCCTTAGCAAGTAGTCCCCGAACGACTAGCCTGTAAGCGACTGGTTCTCGAGCGACTGGTCCCCAAATATCCTTTTCACAACCGGTTCCAGTGACAGTTGACAGGTCCCTAAGCGAAATTATTATCTTACACGCTTCCTCATCATGTATCGACCTGTGGGTCTAGACAAAGTGCAAATTATAATCGCAAACCAGTCGATAAGTGGTCGAAAAGCCCCTTTAATTTTTGTATGGAGTTTTGACGGATTCGATTTTGGATTCGATCAAAAAGTGCGTTTTGTCTAGGGGGGTTGCACTAACTAATTATTGCGTTTATTAATTCTTTATCCAGCTAATGCACATATGGTTTATGTATTATTATTATTGTTTCTCTACTAACAGCTATTTATGTTATATTCCCTAATATACCTATATGTACAATGTATTATTGTTTACATCAGGCCCTCGTTGTCTGAGGATAGTGACTAGGCGAGCGACGAGCGGAGCCGGCTGAGGTAACGAGTGCACTACTAGGGTGTGAATACGCTTACTGGGCAGTCATTGTTAGAGATACACAAGTCATAAATGTCATTTAACCACTGCTTTAGTAATTCAAATTTCAAAGTAACTGCGAACGACCATCGTTTTTTTTAAGATTATTAGCAATTTGCATTGCACAAATTACTAATAGTCCCGTTTATAAGTAATGATATTAGAACTCGATAATTTAAATAAAATCAAGGATCAAATCTTGCAGTACAGTCAGCATCAAATTGTTCGTGACACCCAATTCACCCAAAGTAGCCAAAAAGTTCGCAACACGTCTTTGTTATTGGGAATAAGGTTGTGTTGTCGATTTTTTGGCCACTGGGTGTCAGGAACTATTTGACGCTGGCTGTATATAAGGTATGTAATGGTTTTCTGGGTCCCTTTGCAAGGACGGACGATGTTAATATTATGTATATTTAAACAAAATCTGTGTTGATTGTGTATCTCTGACAGCAAAACATAAAATGGTGCTACTATGACTAAAACTATGTTCGAATTTAATTAAAACATAGTATTTTCAGCTTTTTATCATTTGTCACTTGGACGTGGCAATAAACTGTGGTTGCCGTGAACTGTCATTGTTTTTCTGTTCTTCTCATTCCTCATAGACTTCATTTTGGATTAGTGTATGGATTTACAGGGCCATGACGTCATCATTATTCGTTGGCTGAGGAATGCCTCATGTTTATGTCGACTAATGCTATTGTGTTGTCCGTTTTCTATTTTATTATGAAAACTTTTCTTACGTGAACTATTTCATAAACTTTTATTAGCATGACTATCAAATACAACTTCGTTATATCGAAACAACCTTTCTTGTGGTGTTGCAGTAGTGTATTGGAAACAGTAACGAATTTATTTATTTATCGTTCTCTCTCTAAAAAATGTTTTATTTTAAAAGCCTACTTGCATAAATAAATGAGTTTTAAGGTCATGGCAAAAAAAACTATGACACAAGAAATTGTATAAAATATTGACGCTGTCGATCAGTGACTTAGCTTCAAAATTCCGCCGGCATTATGATCTCGGTAGCACGCGCTTATTTCAAGCGCCAAACTGCTAGAACCTAAAGCCTATAACCAAATATATAAAAAAAAAACATACGCCAAATAGATAATGAGGGCTATCGTTTTTATACTTAACAGTTGGCACCCCTGGCGATTGACAGGACATTACTCTACAGTGGCGCCATCTTGATGAGTGCAAATGCGATAGTCCTCCTACCACTTTAGCGCTCACAAGTTGGTGCCACTGTCTTCGCTACTAGCAAGTGACAGGACCTTACTCTACAGTGGCGCAAACTGGTGAGCGCTAAAACGATAGCCCTCATTCTCAAGACTTTGAGTACCCCAGGACTCTCGTCTATAGCCTCTAAATCTATTCCAGACGGCAAGGTGGCGGCATCGGCCTGTCCACCGGCTCCTCATCATCCCGCATGAAGAGAACTTCCCTGGCTCCCGGCGGCGGCTCCGGCGACGAGTCGTTCGATGACGTCAACGATACCACCAATAGCGTCGAGTGACACGTCACCGCCCGCCGGCGCGAGGGGACTACGTCACGCGCTACAGCCAATCGGGGGGCTGATACCGGTAATACCAATTAGTTGTTTGAAATATCGATTCTTATATCGTTACACTTGTAAAGCCTGGTCTGTGAGCACGTAGAATTTTGTCCAATGACCCCATGCTACCCATCGTTATCGCTCGCGCGTAATTATGTTGCTGTCGCGCTCGCACACTCACTGCGGGCACCCGTCGCACAGTCGCGACAGCAATATAATTACGCGCGAGCGATAGGATGGGTAGCATGGGGTCATTGGACAAAATTCTACGTGCTCACAGACCAGACTATAGCATCAAGATTATCTTATTGTAAATTACACAAATAAAATTACTATTCATTTATGTGATTATGCATCTAATCTAGAATTTCAAGTCTGTTTTAAGTGATATTCTGGTGTCGATATCAGCCCCTTAATTAAATTTACAATGTGGCCAATCTGTTATAATGCGTCTGAATTTTAAATTGATAATTTGGCGTTAGTTCTAAGTCTTTTCAGTTGCATTCTAAGAGGTTGGTCGCTCTGTAAACTTCCATTTTTGAACTTTCATCGAATTGATCAAGCTTGCGTTGAATGTAGCGATTCGTTGACGAAACTTAAAGCTGCACGCGGCATAAGTTAGACTGATCAAGTTCTATGCATGAAATTGAAGTTGTTAGGGTTTCCAAAGAACGTGGTACCGTCACATTACTTGATAGAAATATACCTAAACCTCGGTATTTAATACAGTGCTGTGATGTGGCAATACTACGGTCTTTGCAAACCAATAACCAAAACCAGTAACTACGAATGATGATTCATTGTAGCGGCAGTGACTTAATTTTGAAAATGTAAAAAAAATGGTCCCCTCGTTAGCTGCTGGATTCTCCAATGGCGTTGACACATCCACATACCTTGTACTTATTGCGATTTGCTATGTCAACTGTAAAACATTGTCGATATTATAATTAATGTGGTTAGCCGTCTATCACCTTATAATCATGGTTTTATGAAGGATTCGACCGAATTTTGTATTCGAACATTCAATTTGTTTTTTATCTTGTAATCTAAAAAAATGTGTTGTGGAAATAGTAAGCGCCAATTCGTTTCCCAAAAACCATGGTTATAAAGGTTTTTGTTTTACTTTCATTTTCATGTAAAATACGTTCGTCAATTGTTACCTCTGCGACGAATACTATGTATGGAATAATAGGTCAAGATGTAGCAAAGCTTTGTATCAACATTTTATATCCTTCTCTGTCGGTATTGTAATTATTGAATTAGTGATTAATGAAATTTTCGAGTACATATTTGAAAGTATATCGGGCGCTCAAATATTTTTGAATTGCATTTACAGTCTGTGAATCTCTGGTAGTATTTCAAATTGGAGCATTTCACGAGCCAGTATTATTAACGAAACATTCCTAACAATCGAGTTCTCAGTTTTACCCGACGCAGGTAAAACGATAAATTACTCATTGGGTGATATTGTGATGAAATTAAAAGTAATAAAAAGTATTACAAATTAAACGATCGATTTTGCATTTAAAGCGACTGAATGGCGAAGACTGTTTTTGCGACAATACACTGGACCCCAATTTTGTCCGATGGCCGGTACCCGCTTAGGCAAGCATGCTCATACGTACACCATGTAAATATAATCAGTGTTCCACTGATCGCTTAGTTGCCATACAAATTTAATGATAGTTGTTAAGTAAGGACATGTAAGCTTCGTGCTGCGCGCGTGGGCTGTACAGTCTGGACGCTCGCCGCGTATTCTACACGTTGGTTAAGACTCGTAGTAATAAATCGTGGCCTTAGTTTTTTAATATGAACTTATACGTAAAACGAACGATTCTGTCTTTTGTATTAAAGGCCTAACAACTTTCATAAAATAACTCTGTATCTTCGCGAGCATTTTATATGACTATTTACCGAAGTCTTAATTATTGTAATGACGTCTTTTTTAATTATATAGTTTTTTTTTCTGATTAATAATATAAAATTTAAATGTAAGTAAACCAGCATAAAACTTATTTTACATATAATATTATATTTAATTATTAACAATATTGATAATTGTAAAATTGGCCATAGGTTGTAACAAGTTATCAGTTGGTATGCCAATTAAACAATTTTTCATGATTTTTAAATAATTTGGTTTTATTTGAATGTACCCACCTAACCTACTTTTTCTTTCAGTATCCTTATTTCCCGAAGTAGGTTTTAGAGATTGTCTAGATAATTTAGTCCGAGAGGAGACTGTATAAATGAAATAAAGGGACTCTATGCTCCTACAAAAAATTGTGCGACAAGGATCGATCACCGGGAATACTTTTTATAAATTTTATTTAAACTGGTAAATAATTAGAGATGAAACGGATAATTCTTTGGCCGGATACTGGATATTCGACATTAAGATATTTATTTATGTATTCGTCATTGGAGTGAATAGCCCAGAAATAGAAATTAGTGTTTTTTGAAAGGCCTTAATATGGCTTTTTTTGTAACTTTTTGGACTTTAAAATAAAAGCCGTCATTATTATAAGCCATTTGTTATTTATCTCAAAGATAATATCCGATATCCGGCCGGATAGTGAGTTACTATCTATCCGGTTTCTGGCCGAATAATAAATTTAGGCCGGATATCCGGCCTACCGGATAGTTACCGAATATCCGTTTCATCTCTATAAATAATATCTTTATGGTGAGAACCATAGAGGAATTGGTCTAGATCTCTAAGGTAAGAACTAAATAAAGAATCAGCCCCCCTAGACAAAACGCACTTTTTGATCGAATCGATAATCGAATCCGTCAAAACTCCATACAAAAAAGGGGCTTTTCGACCACTTTTCAACTGGTTTGCGATTATAATATTTTGCACTTTGTCTAGACCCACAGGCATAAAAAAGTACCTAATAATAAGACAGAATTTGAAATGTGATTGTTGATATTATTGCTTAAGTGTACATTTAAAAAAAATACAAAGTCAAAGTTGTCAACGCGACGTCTATCATGCAAAATGTCAAAATTGTTCAATTGTCATTAATGTCAAACACATTCGTGATGTGCGAAAATCTTGTTTGTTTTTATCCCATTTGCGAATAAAATTCCCTGGTGGAAGGTCCTCCCCTTTGAAGCAACAGGCGCACCTTCGGATTTCAAATTTCATAATCAGGTACATAAAAGACAAATTTAATTCAACATGTCGATGGTTGATACCTACTTTATGGTAGCTTTAGAGATCGTAAAGTCGGCAGGAAAACTTATAACTGAGCATGTCAAGGGATGCAAGGATTACAAATTGAAGTCGTGCGACATCGACTTGGTGACTGAAGTGGACAAAGCGGTAGAGACTACTATCTTGTCCAAACTAAAAGAGGAATTTCCTCACCACGCGTTTATCGGCGAAGAATCAGTCGCGGAAGGTGCCAGAGTGGTTCTCACTGACGAGCCGACCTGGGTCCTCGACCCTATTGACGGTACTCTTAACTTCGTCCATGGGTTTCCTCATAGCTGCATTTCTCTCGGCCTGCTCATTAACAAGGTGCCAGAGATGGGTATCATTTATAACCCAATTATGAATCAACTATTTACTGCCTTGAAGCATCAAGGAGCGTATCTTAACGATCAAATCATTCATGTGTCAAAGGTTAAGGAACTGAAGGGAGCATTAGTTGCTTTCGAAGCTGGCACTAGCCGTGATGCGGATAAAATGAAAGTTGTGCGAGAAAATTTTGATCAAATCATTTCTAAAGCTCAGGGCATGCGAGCTTTGGGTTCGGCGGCGTTGAACATGGCTATGGTAGCAATGGGAGCGGCGGATGCTAACTTTGAGTTTGGGATTCACGCCTGGGACGTAGCTGCTGGGACCATTATAGTGCGAGAGGCTGGAGGAGTGGTCATAGATCCTGCCGGTGGCCCTTTTGACATTCTATCGCGCAGGGTGCTTTGTGCTGGCACGAAGGAGCTGGCTGAGGAATTGTCCAAGACCTTGGTCCAGTATTACCCAGAGAGGGATTAAAGCAGGATGAAGAGTAGACAATATAATAATATTAATTAATCAAACAATATTTAAGGGAAGTTATAAATTTTTGATGCATTGTAATTTGAACTATGTACTTACATATTTATTCACATTCTACAGGGATTGTATGTAGTGTATCATTCTCTGTGGATGATTTCAAATGATTTTCTAGTTATACCAATAAGGATTAAGTAACCTGATCTACTACTTCCATATTACAGATTTGTTTTACTTACTAATGACAACGAGGCATTTATTTAAGATTTTAATTTATTTTTTATTGAATCTTATTGAATTCAGGACTGGTGATAAATAAGTTGGTTTTCAGAGTTTATGACATTCAATTATATTGATGTTTCTATTTTACTATATTTTTTTAATGTTAATAAGAAAAAAATGCATATTTTACTAAAAGATTTAATCAGATGAACTTATTTATTATTTAGAAGTTTTGAAAAAGTTTGGACTTATTGAGAGTACTATGTTATGAAATTATTGTAGTCCTACATAACTTAAACATAATTAAATTTTAAATAGAAGGAGAAATAAAACAACAAGTATAATTTAGTTATTAAGTTATATAATTACTTATAATTAATTACCAAATCAATAAATAGTCATGGAAAATAGTGAAACTATTATTAATATATTTTATGTTCTAATGCCATAAATTATTGTTAACTTCTTAATTTATTTGAAATATTTGTCTCTGGATGTTAAAATATGTTTATGTACTTGTGTTAGTGTGTAGACTGTAGTGTACTTGTATTTCACTAGAAAGTGATCTGTTATCTTTATAGATAATAAACATTCATTATCTGTAATGTAATGGTTATTTTATTTATTGTAGCATAACTTAACATAGTTTCGGTGGTATGTCTTCATAGAACATTATGTAGATAGCAAAAACAAGACCACCTGTATTTTATATTACATATTTACTTGGCCTTTTGGATTAATTAAAGTTCTGAGACTTCTGAGCACAAGTAGTGTAATTCAAGTTACAGCTGTGATTTCAGGCAAATTAAGCATTTTGCTTGGTAGCTGAAACATATTAAAAAATAATAGAAAAAAGTATAATCAGAATCTGTCAGTCATTTGAATAATAACAGTCAATGATTACATTAATTAAACTTTCAAAACTAAAACAATGATTTAACTTATTCTAGTTAGTAAATAGAGATCTTTGTTAATGTTATTTAGGAGCATAATAAGTCTTTTCAGTAGTGGTCAGTCAGTTATCCTTGTCTTTATTTGATAGTCTGTCCTTATAAGTCACATATTATAGTTAAAGTCTTGTCTATAAGGTCTAAAGATGATTATGTAGCCTATTTAACATCTATGTGGTCATAAAGTTAACTTTTCTACAATCATTCAGTCAGTCTCAAAGAAATCTGTAAGTACGACACAATGTATCGGTAGTCAAATTCTAGTCATTATTAAAATTTAATCCAGAGCAGCTGCAATGTAAATAAGGGTTCCGTTTTTTGCCATTTGGCTACGGAACCCTAAAAATCTTGAGCAATTTATGAATATGAAATAAAATATGTAGGTAGGTAGTAAAGCGATTACAAAAATGATCACGATCACGAGAATCACGACTGATATGGTGCGTCCACACTGGGCGAACGGGCTCGCGCGGCAAACTCGACATCCTGCTCACTCAAGAGCAGAGTGAGCAGGATGACCAGCGCGCTGCGCGAGCCCGTTCGCCTAGTGTGGACGCACTATTATGCTGCTTTTACACTGCGCGGAAATTAGCCAAGTCAAGTCAAAAAAACAGTGGAGTGGGGATGAAAAATGAATGAATTTCATCCCCACTCCTCTGATTCTTTGACTTGACTCGGCAAATTTCCGCATAGTGTAAATCCGCCATTACAATAATTGTCTACCTACAGACACACCTATTCATAAAGTTGAGTGTCAGTCATTAACTTGTGTACAGTCATTATCAGAAGTGTCTAGTTACTGTTTTAATAGTAAACAGTCAATGTCAATAGTTTGTGTCAGTCTTTCATTAAGTAGTTACTTTAGTCACGCTTTATTTGACGATATGTATAGTCAATGTCATAAGCATCAGTCCAATGTCAAAAGTTTGTGTCAGTCAATCAATAAGTACTTTAAAGGTGCAGTGAATGTCATATCCATCAGTCATTTACGTAGTATACTGTAAACAATGCAATTGCCAACATGCGTCAGATACAGGTTCCTAAATTATACAGTTATTTTCGAGTATCAGTCAGTAAGTTAGTCAAACTGTTCGTTCAGTCACTGATGTGTCAGTCACTGATGTGTCAGTCACTGATGTGTCAGTCACTAAAGTCAAACTGTAAGTAGGTATACATAGAGTCGATGTCGATTGATGTAGTATGGTGAATGTATAACCAAACAATGGATTGTAAGTTCACATATTCACATTGGATTTTAAGTCAATTTATAATAAGTTTTTTAGTCAATAAGCAAATCACAGTCCCGGTTAAATCGGATTTTGTACTGTCATGGTTTAATTGTCGTCAGTTATTTGTTGTGTCAACCATAGGCTACTGTTTTTTTTGGTGTATTAAAAGTCTAATTATGTCTGTACTAGCAGTACTAGTCAGAGTTGCGAATGAAAGTCATTAGTAAGTTAAGTCATTTTAAGTCAGTCACAGTCAGTTTCAAGTCGTCATATTTCAGTCAAAAAAGTCACGTCCCTGCGTCATATGTAAGGTCACGTAATGTTTTTAAGTCATTATGTTTTTTTTAATTACATTTTTCTACGTCCAAATGTCCAATCATTGGTACTTAATGTGTTGTACTATTATAAATGCAATTAGTCTTTGTTAAAAGTTATCAAAAAGTTTTTGTCTCTATAATGTTCAGTCGGTTCTGTAAGTTTTATGACCATCAGGCAAATTATGTAACAATTTATCTTTTCTAATACCAATTGCCCAATACGTATACTTTCTAACTATCATTTTATCTGCACCTTTGATCAATTATTATCTAATTTTAATTTGCTATCAAAATTTTCCAGGTCGTCGCCGTCTCATCAGGTTCAGATCTAAGGGTCTGGGGATCTCCTTTAACGAATAGGGGTCCACTTTGATGAAGGGCATGCGGTTTGGAAGCTCCTCAGGAATATCAGCGTTCTCTTCATATACGGCCCAGTTGGATGGACTGAAAAAGAAAACAAAATTAAGGGATTCTGTGGTTAAAACGGTTTTGGTGGAAAGAGGCGAACAGGTACAGATTTATTTCCTTGTAGATTTGCAGAAAGCATAAATTATCATAAAGTTTGTATTTACCTATTTTCACTAGGTATGACTTGGAAAGCTACCGAAGGGGTTTTCGCACTGTCTGCAGGCTTTTTAGTCTTGGTCTTCTGTTTTGCCGGGCTGGCTGCCTTTGACTCGATCTCATCCAGTAAAGCCATCTTATTCGGTGAAGATCTTTCTTCCACGTCATCATTACTCGGCAAACCAGGGTTGTTGTAATTCTCTCTCAAAATATCTTTAGTCACTTCTACAGTCTTGTCAGTTGCTGGAGTTTCAGCGTCACTGTATTTATGCAGCACGTTTCTGATATAGTAGTATTTGTCAGTGTTTCCATGCGAGTTTTGGGAGTCGTCGTGTCGTCTAGTCGGTCTATGTAAGTTGCCGTAAGGCCTAGTTGCTGTCTCGTAAAGGAAGAATGTCGATAGTTTTGTGTCGCTATTATGTCCGTCGTCATTGTCAAATCTTTTAGTTTCGTAAGTCGAGAAGTCTTTGCTAATCACGCCTGGTTTCTTGTTAGTCTCTGTCTTGTCTTTAATTGTTAATTTGTCATTGGTCATGTCTCCTTTGTACGTTCCTACATACCCAAAAGTCACAAGTTTGTATAAATTGTCAGTCGAAGTAGATATTTGGTCAACGTTTTTGTCAGGTTTGTCGTTAGTTTGTTTAGTTTTAGTCGTAGTCAGGATATCGTCGTCGTTAGATCTAGCAGAAGAATGTACATTTTCCCTGTTAGTAGTGTGTGTTGGTCTGTTATTTCTGTAGTAGTCATAGTCATTGTTGTTAGTGTTTTTGTCGCGGTTATTGTAGTAGTGCGGTTTATTTGGTCGTCGGTATGTGTCGTCGTAAGTCTGGTAAGTCACTTTAACTACGTCTCCGTCATATTGTGGTCTCCTAGTAGTTTTTCGCCATGATTCCGTCGCTCTAGGTACATAGTTGATGAGGTATGTGTATTTGTTAACGTTTTCAGTTACAGTTATAACAGGCCTGTGGTAGGGTCTTTTGTGTGGCAAGTTGTTAACAACTACTGATTGCACATGTTGTACGTCAGAGTCGTCTTCCTCGTCATAGTCGTAGTCGTAAGTCTTTTCTGGTTTGTCATTACGTCGTGTGTCATGTTTGTCACTGTTTTCGTAGCGTCGGCTTTTGTTCTTAAAGTCAAGTTTATCGTCAATTTTGGTAGTCATGTTTAGTTTGTTAATAGCAGCAGTCATGTTCTTGTTAGTCAAATTGTCTTTGTCCTTTGCAGTCGTGTTAGTAGGCTTTGGTTTTGTGTTTTGAGTTTTATTAACATTTGCTGGTTTTGGTTTCTTCTCATTTATTATGTTCGACGCAGCAGTTGCTATCTTTTGAGGCTTTTTAGTCGTGGGTCTTACAGTTGTCGTAGGTTTAGTTTTCTTAGGTTTCTCAGTACTAGTCTTAAAGTCGTCCGATTTGCTTATGTCGTTGTTTGAGTCAGAGTGTATTTCCACCCAGGGTGATAAGTCAAAGTTATTGAGTAGTCCGTTTTGGCACGAAATTCTTTCATTGTCGGGGTTGTCGTGTGACAGAAAAACAAACGGCTGGATGCTTTCGATTGTATCTAGTGTACGACAAAGAACTTGGGCGAAAGAAATTCGGCGAATCTGTTGTAATTGTGCTGGTGTAAATGAAGAATCAAATCCACCATTTTCATACCTGAAATGTAGAAATGTTTCATTATGATCGATTGAGATTAGATTTATTCGTATTCTATTTTTTTTTTATTTATTTAAACTTTTATGCCAAAATAAATTTGTACATAAGGCGAACTTAATGCACTAAATCATTCTCGACCAGTTTACCTTTGGGTTGAGCAGAAAAGAAATTTGTTTGGCGGTACTTCTATGTACAGATAAATTGTCTTTGTCCTTAAATATATGTTTTACATTATTTAAAACTTTAAGATTAGCATTAACTCACCAGAATCGATCGCCTTTGCGGAGGTTAGAGAACTGCTGAGCTATTATACAAGCGAAAGTAGGTCCAACTAGCCCACCGACTACAGGTCTTTCAGCCATGCCCCCGGTGAAGAGATCAATATCATCAACGTGTCTGAAAATAAAGACATACTTTTAGTCAAGTTCACGAATAAGGTTTTAGTTGCAAAATATTTTATCTCATCTTATTACCTGTATAAAGTTTTTATTCTTCTTGCAGCCCTTACAGGCATTACCCTGAAAAGATCTTCAAATTCTGTAATCGCTGACAGCCCACACGGCTCTCTCCAAGAAGTATACGAGGGTACCCCATGGTCTCTTCCTCTTTGAATATTGATAGCAGCTAAGTCCATACCGAAATCAAATTGTGGGGTTTGGAACAGGTGATTGGTCAGTTCCGCAGTGATGAACTCGTCGCGTTTTTGGATTGGCTGATTTACCATGCCGAAGAGGAGTCTATCCACCGCTCCCATGCTCCAGATATTTGATGGGTTTGTCAGCTCGTTGTGGAGGGATACATCTGGAAGTACATTTATGATTAGTTCCTTTAAAATAGAAAACATCGTTGGTTTTGCGAACTGCGAGTACTGAATTCTGTAGCTAATCATCGTTGTTGATAGAATTTTGCAAAGATAGAAAGTGAAAAATATTCTGCTACTTATTACTCCGTAGTTATATGCATTTGTTTTTACTCAGGTCTGGTGTATTGTATAAGTTGATCGTATTTACACTTACTATTATTGAGAGGTCTATGGAACCGGTCGAACCGCACCATAGTGCCCTGCACGAGGCTGTGGCCGAACCTGAACGCAGAGGATCCGAAGGAGCTGGCAGGACTGGGATTTATCTTAGGGTTGTAGTTCTTGAAGTACCCCTTCTTCAGTGGCTCTAGCTCAAACAGGCGCATCACTTCGGTACCTGTTGAAAAGATCATCATCATCACACAAGAGCACGACACTTTCTAGTTTACCAGAGGCAAACGAAGCATTAGTATTGGCCTATACCTACTCCCCATGCTGGACTGGACAGATATTAGACAGTAGGAAAAAATAAAAGGTAATAATCAGTCGAATGCCAGTATCTAGGATTTCTTATAAGCTACTTTTAATGAATTTCACTTACCTAGTACTATTGGCAGGAATTCTCTATACGTGATGTGTTGGACCATTGCGCCGACGATTTTACGGGTTTCTTGGTATATTTTCTCGTCGCTCCAGTGGGGGTTTAGGTGTGCTAGCTCTTGAGCCATCCTAAAATATGAAACAGAAAGTTAGGAACTATTAAAGGCGTAATTTAAGACACAAAATGCTGATCAATGAAGGTAAAAGGCTGTACGCTATTAAACTCTGTTTCTACTCTCTAAACTGTAGATGATAGACGCCTTTACAAAAAATGTGTCTGATAATAGTCAATAAACTTTAGCACCCTAAGGTAAGTATTGTAGATACTCGTACCTATTACATTTTGGTGCCTTACCTATTGTGCTGCCTTAACCAGACGATGTGAGCAGCCACCAGCCCCGGGTGCTCGTTGACCCTGGCGTCTCCGGACTTGAAGCAGTCGGTGGACACGGCTCCTCCCCGGCAAAGCTCGTCTTTCCTCTCTGGTGGTAAGAGCGGTCTTCGTTGCTGCACTCGACCGTATTGAAGCATTCCTGTAATATTTCATCTTTTAGTTGAGCTGAATAAAGCAAGACTAGAACGTTGAACCTATTTTTCATAATTAAATATTATTTCTGTAGTTCTTTAAAATACAATTTGTATTCAATATTCCATCATGAAAAAATATATTTTCCGATGGATTCTCCCAATGTCTAATGCCCGTATTCACAAACGTTACTATGAGGTCTCATAGTGCGTGTGGACGCACAGGGTGACACACGAACCAATCACAGAGCTCTATTCAACGCTGTGATTTCGATTTGCTGCTTCGTTTGTGAATAAGGGCGTAAGTAGCTCAGATGGTGAGAGCAGTCGCCTGGCAAGCGAAAGGTCGTGGGTTCGATTCCCATCTTAGAAAATTCGATTTTTCCAAGTTGTCTAAAATTCCATTAAATATTTTAAGAACAACAAGCATAATCTGTTTCATCAAAAATTACATATAAATTAGTCACTTACCATTCCTGAAGAGCCTGAGTTTGTCTGACTGTCTAGCTGAGCTGGCGTAGAGAGGTGATCCATCGATGTATGCTGACACTTGGTTCAGCTGCTCTCGCCAACCAAGGGCGCAGTCATCCCTAGGAGCCGGCGATGACCGTACGAAGTCCAGACATCGCACCCCGCGGGGACCGTAGAACGGGTCTGACGCTGGCACTGATATGGGGAAGCATTCTGGATGCTGAAAAAATACTTTTTGTACCAAAAATTCTTTTTGACCTAAGATGGTCTTCCAGTCGAAATTAATTCGTCCTTTAATGATAATAATTTAAGATATTGTTTACCATCAACTCCTTGGGCACAAAGTCCCTTCCACCGTCCTTGCAGCACCTCGGAACCGATCCATTGAACCCTCTCGACTGTGAAGACGAGGTGATATCGTGGTCTAAGAACTGTCCCCATTGCATTAGAAGGTGGGTAATACTAGGACTTTCCACGTTCTCGCTGGCGTGGACCAGGGCGCTGATCTCCCGAGCAGATGGGAGCTTGGACCCGAAGACCGAGATCCTGGGGGCTTGGAGACCATCGGAGTAGGAGGGGGAGAGGAATCGCTGGACGGGCGTCATGGTCGACCCCCACCGAGGGCGGTTCAGGTTATTGCATGTTCCATCGTGGGTCCGGTACCTAGAAGTATTTCGGAAAATTTCAGTTACTCGGTTTTCATATGGAAAAGGAGAGACGTAATATGATAAGTCACCCGTGCGCACCTGCCTTGTCACCGTGACAGTATCTCCATACTCGTAGATAAGAATAAAATAAGTAACTACGTTGTCTCTCTTTTTCTCTTTATAAAAGTGTAGTGTAAAAGAGATAAATAATATCACGGTGATAAAGTCACACGTGCGCGCGCGTTTTAATTCATGAGCAAAGGCATATCGTTCATACAGCCAACTCGTGCGCATTGGGAATTCGAATGTTGATTCGAATTTCAAAAATTGATTTGGAATTTATTTACTTGCGGTGTTTGATTGAAATTTAAAAATGGAATGAAGTTAGCTTGACAGCTTGTAGTTTCTCTTGAGAAGTCATGACCGTATTTCCATTTCTATCATGGCGGGTAGTAAAAATAAATAAAATTAAAATGTCTGTGTGGTGTTTTGCGGGACTTGTTGTTAGAGTAGCAATTTTGAAGGACGAGTTAAATTAAAAACATGTAAATTCCGTGTTTTCAAAGACGTTTGTGTTGTGAAAGTTTTGTGTTATAGTTTTATGTCAATGTGTTTGGAGGCATGGACCTATAAAAAAAGGCGGACGGAACTCGCGCTACAACAAAACTGTGACGCAAAATTTTGGCGTTTGTCTATTGTGTGAGTGAATTTAGGGATGCCATGTTAGCCAAAACATTTTACCCATTTATTTTAAGAAAAACATAGATCGGCAGATGTTACTTGGAAATGTAGACAGAATTATTCCGTGCCATTTTAAAAGGATGAAAGGTGTATGCGTTGAGGTAGGCGCGAAATTTTCAATGTTCAAATTTTCTTACATTGTTTGCAAGTCAGTGTGTCAGGGTATGTACATAATGTTGATCAAAAATGATTCACGCAGTTACAAATTACGAATCTTGTGTACATTATAATCATAATCTTATGCATCATCAATATATTATTATTATCTCTGATAGATTTTTTTTAACATACAACCTGACACTGACTTGCAATCAATGTAAGAAAATTTGAATTTCGCAGTTCCACATTTTTGGGAAGGATCAAATTTGCCTATGAAAATATATCCCATTAAAACACAATTATTATGATAAATTATTTTATTTCCATAGTATGCGTAATACATAACTAAAAAGTCCTAAAATCATTATTAATTTCCCATATTTCGGGTAATTTTCCCACGTAAATAACTGAGAACACTGGTCTTTGACGTATTATTTTTTCGAGTGAATGACGTTTGATTTCAATTAATTTCAATATTTTAATGTCGGGAAATAAGTGATTGGATTATTATTTTGCCTGTGAAATGTGATTCCTTAATTTTTGTTTGTTCGAACAGAACGGTTTTTACACAATTTCATCACACAAGACATGTCGTATTCGTGTTGTTTTTTCGCTGCTTAAATGTGTCAACTGTGTGAAGTTTTCACTCGAAGTGGTGTAACAGGGTGTGAATGTGTGCGTGCCGGCCTGTACGTACAGGCAAGCTGGTGTATCCTAATGTCACAGTATTTTGTTGATGAGAATCCGTCCGACTTTTTTTATAGGTCCATGTTTGGAGGTTTGTTGTTGCTGTGAAGTTTGAAAGCGGTACCTACAAGGAGAATGAAAAGCGGTTCAGCTGCAGCAGCGGCTTCTAACTTCGGAGATCAGGTAAGTGAAAGTGAATTGTTTTTCATAATTTCCCAATGTATGTCTATGTATATTTTCAGCTTTTTCAGGATTCGTGTTATGAATGGAAATGTATTTTATGACACGAGTTACTGTAGCAATATTTATTAATCACGATGATGAGTATTTTTTTTTATTTCTGGATGATCTGTTCCAGGGTCAATTGTTTAATTAATTTATCTCGTAAGATCGTTTAGTTTTGGCTCAGGCAAATTGACCCATGTACCTATGTAATACGTTACTTTCTCGCTGGAATCTGCTTTGGTGGATGTATAGTGATGGGTATTAGGAGCCAGTCTATATTATAAGTTTATAAGTTACCTCTTAGAGGCCGGGGGGCACTTGGGGGCCCCCCGCAGAGGACAGTGCTGCATGAGCGGCGACTGGCGCAGTGCGCTCGCGCTCGGAAACTGCGCCTCCTCCGTGCGGCCCTCCAGACCTTCCTCATTGTCTGTGCTGTTGACAAGAGATAGTTTTCATTACAGGTTTGTACTTTCATCTAAATTCCTTACTGTTAGGTTCAATCTAAGATACTGTTACTCTTACTAGTTATGTACGAATTAGACCCTCTTGTGGGTTTCCGAATGCAAAGATTAAAGTTAGGTCTTATGGGCTCCACGTAGTGGACGCACGCACGGATATTTGCAGAAATGTTACTATTATTTACTACCACTTATGTATCTACACTAATAGAGACGTGGTCGTCCTTTTTGACGTCGGTGGAGGAGAAAAAGAAGGAGGTTCTCAATTCGTCTGTAATGTTATTTTGTTATATTCAAAGTGAGAGTATTATCTAAATAAATTATATCAATCATTATAACTGTAAGTAGGTCGTTTACATTGCACATAAGACATATCTAAAAATCACGTATTTCTTGAATTCGCTAATGTTTCTTTTGTCTTCAAACACAATAAACGGGTTCAAAGTTTCAAAAACTCGCGAACAAAGAGCAAAAATATGCGCTTTCCCTTTTGCCATATTAGATTAACTTATTAACATGCAGCAAATTATGTAAATCGCATTAAAAAAGATGCGGAAGTGGACTCCAATCCGCCATCTTGCCATAAACTTGTGGGAAGCAACCATTTTACATAATTAGCTATTAATGAGTATGAAAGTGAAAAGGTAAACGTAAATAAGAGTGGAGACTGATAAATGTTGACGCTTTGACTTTTCGGTGCTTGGGGCAATGAATTATGTATTAGCCTTGGAGAAAGTTGGGAATATTGTTTTGTAATAAGCCTGGCCGGTTATTGGTGTCCCACTGTGGCACGTGTGGTCGACTCATGTGGTATAACAGACGCTAATGGATGCGTTATGTAACATTCTTTCTTTTCGTTTTTTCTTTAGTTGTACACGGGCTATTTAAATCTTTAGAATGCCTTGTCTTATTATGGTGACAAATACAGGTTGTCCCAAAATTAGCACGTCACACTGACACTGGAGGTAGCTGAGTCTAAGACGCATCGGGTTAGTAGTAGTTTCGTACGATTTTCCTTTGCACGAATGTGCGAAACGTCCCCTTTGAGAAAAATTTTTTTTAGTAGGCGTTTCGCCCGGATGTATTAAAAGTATTAAAATCGCGTGCGAATCGACTCTTTTTTGAACTATTAGTATGCGATTACTAGTTCTCAAAGGGGTCGATTCGCACCCGTTTTTAATACTTTCAATAAATCCGGGTGAAACACCTACTAAAAAAACATTTTTTTTGAAAGGGGACGTTTCGCACATTCGTGCGAAGGAAAATCGTGCGAAACCACTACTAACCCGACGCATCGAACAAGCTTAATATGTACATAGAAAAGTTTCATAAGTTTTAAGATATGACCAATTTTATTTATTCTTGTTCATAGAAAAGTTTGATGAGTTTTTAAATACGACTCATATTAGTTATTTTTAAAAATTGACTTAATATAGGTACCTACTTGTTAGATGCGTCTTAATGAGCTTAAGACCTCTGGTGTCAGTGTGACGTGCAAATTTTGGGACACCCGTATAGTATTTTAAGAGTTTTCCACGAGGTAAAAAGTCGCATCATTTGGCGTAGCTAAATTAACATTCTAATTAGTTGGTAAAATATTGCTTAAAATGGCCTCATTAAAATATAAACATGAAGAATAAGATGATGGCCATAGCTAGACATCCGACAAGGTCTGAAGAAGAAATATCGTTTACAGATAGTTTAAGAGATAATTAGTAGACTTGATTATTGTAGAGGCTCAATGTTAATTGCATCATCCTTTCGATCAGTTGCCAAGTCAATATCTTAATTAAATTGTAGTAAGGTACTTGATACAAATAAGGCCTACGTTCTAATAAGGCCTATACATCAGAAAACACAGATAAACAAATCCAACCGGGATAATACTTCAAGGACTCGTACTCATATGCCCTACAACCCGGTAGAGTGCAAGAGCGTCCCGATCCACGATCCCAGCACCAATTGGCACGCGTTCTTCTAAGGTGGTGGGTGATATCGTGCTCTCTTATAAAAATCTGGCGATTTCATCTTAAATTTTCGGTAAAATAACGCTGTTTTAGATTAAGCTTTTCTTAGTAATCGTTTCTAAATATTTCTTACTAGCTAATAATTACCTTAATTTGTACTACTGGCTATAGATGCATTATTTGTAAATTTTTAAAGACAACAAGAGCGAAATATCTAATAAGGCCTAGGCCTTATTTCAGCATGGTAGGCCATATTAGATACTTATGTTAACACCTGATTACGGACAAATTCATTAAACTAAATGAGTCAAAGAGTAACTAAATATTTATTTAATAAGAATGTTACTAACAGCACAGAAAATAAAAAGAAAACAGAGTAAAAAAAATTACTAAACCTGTAAAAAAAAGAAACAAAATACAAAACCAATAAAAAATAAGAAAAAAAAGCCGTAAGTATAATTCTAAAGGATTAAAGCTGATATTATCATGCCTGTCTCGAAGACAATGTTGCAGATATGCTACCATAAAGGACTGCTTTTGGTGGTATCTTATAGATTATGTAGGAGTTCGTAAAGATGATTCAGAAGCCTTTTTATGCCCTGGTTGTAACAAAAATTGAGATCTCATTTTGTTTACAAAAAATCAAGACTAAATGATATTCCTAAACTGATTTATTTAAAAGGTTTTATGTGTAGGCCTTATTCGAACACGGTGTTTTAATAAGCCCTATACAAAAAAATAATATTGTTTGTTTTTGATATTTTTTTTGATAATTTAAGTAAGGAATCATTACTTTGTTACTATGAATATTTAATTTTATCTATAATTTATGTATTATTCTTAATAAGTGGAATTTAAGTTTATCTAGAGATATACAGTATATTTCTGTTTAATTGGTATGTAAAATTTTGATAACGCAAACAAATCGACGTGTTTAATGTTATAAGACCGCATTTTGTTTAATACAACCTCAATTTTAAGGTCTACAGGCATTTGAATCATATAGGCCTTATTCCGTGTAGGTGATTTAATAAAGCCAAAATCAGTGGTTTCGTAAATTGCTTATTTTGAATAGATTTAGTTAAAAATTGTGTTATTTTTTATTATATTGCTAAAATTAAAGGATGGAAGAAGTTAATTAACCTTGTTTTTGTTGACTAGCGTTAATATTTATTGAAATATAAGCATTTAAAGTTAGGTAGGCCTTATTTGTATCAAGTACCTTAATTAATGAGTGCTACATCTTTTTTATTGCAGACATTGACAGGTGAATATCGACAAAAATGCAATTGAATTTTTCAAATGTTTCTTACAACTACAACTTTGTACAAGCCGTGAGTAGGTACCAACATAATGTAACTCATTAATAAACGTCGCGTTAAGACCCGTGTCTTACTATTTTAATTACAACTTTGTACAATTCGTATACATCAAGATTCAATTAATTCATTACAATCTTTTAAAATAATCATCACTATTGTCTGAAACATTGGAAAAATGATTTATTAAAGCAAACATTCAATAGATCCGGTTGGGACACGATACATGAGTTTCTTATTGATTTCATTAATGTGCTGTAATTAGCGTCATTAAAAGCATAAAACATCTTCGTATTCGATAAAGACTTGGTTTAAATATTATTTATCAATTGATTTTATGTACAATCAAAATAAATTGGAAAATTATAGAGCACTGAAGCATTATTTGTGGCTAGCTGATTAGTCGTTCGAAAATAGATGATTAACAGTGAAAGCAAATTTATTTTATTTATTCAATATAGAAATGCGCGTGAGATTGAGAGAGATCCGTTTAGCAACATCCTAGTCATAAAATAGTTTATTGTAGTCTTATTATTTAGTAGTAATCTTATTATGTATTCTTAGATTTTTCTATGAAACTTACGTTTCGAGACGTTGTTATTGATTAATTATTCTAATTAGAAAGCTTTACTGCTAATAGTACCTATTTAAAACATAGAAATTATTTACATATTTTTTATATAGCTTATAAAATTTTATGGATGTTATACAGATGAAAAAATAATTTTTAGATAGCAGGTAAATAAACATCTTATTAATTAAGCTTTAATAGGCTATAATTCAATAACTTTATTAACAATATTTACTTTTATTCTAACTCGTAATTTTGTACTTGTACATACAAGCTGTTTACCTATTTAACTTAAATGGCGCCCACCTTGTCACGTTGACCAACCGTGGGTAGAGTTCATTCAGATCTCTCTACATTATCAAATATTTCTTTCAACCTATAATAAAATCCGTAAATCTCTTTTGAAAGTTGATTTGATTGCCCTTTGACCTTCAGTTGAGATCCATAACAGCATCGACGAGCGCTGTTAACAATAGGTCAAGCATAGGTACCTAGGTAAGTAAGGCTTACACCATCTTACTATAACTTTACAAACGTCAAAAGTCTGTCAAACTCCATACAAAAAACAACGGTTGTAGTTATAGTTACGGTTAAAGTTAGGTGGTTCAACTCAGCCTTAAATTAACGTTCACACGAAAATTCCGTTTCTCATTCCCGCAAAAACCGCACCGTAGATATTGGTAATTTGAATTGCAAACACACAGTGTGTTCACGACAGATCCTGCATTACTGGATCCAGAAAAATTTGATATTACTGGATTAAGGAAAACTGGATTGCTGCGGGAACGAGCCTTATGTAGGTAATATGGTCTATATTGGCCGTGGCCTTCGTCACCGTGGGCCACGGCATATGCTGAGTGGGGTCCCGTTGCAGTGGGCATCTTGTTGATGTTGGTGAGTGGGTGGCACTGCTCAGTTTACTCTTGAATTTATTTTTCTTCTTCCATTATTATGTGCCACTGTCATGTCTATGTAATTGCTTGTATTTGTGTGACGTCCATTGTAATAAATGTATCTTTCTTTCTTTCTACATTGCAACAAAAATCTGACAAGCTGTTAAGTACACCTCGTTGATAATTCGCACCCATGCGCGGACGCAGCGAAAGTGCTGCTTTCGCTCAGGGCCACGTTACGCGTGCTCATACGTAACGGACGGTAACCAACAATATCGGCCCGTTAGCGGACGTTAACCGTCGATAATTTAACTAATTGGTTAAGGCCAGTGTGGGAAAATAACCGAAAGTGTTTGTAGAGCTTTGGGAATTACCTAATGCGGTTATTGTTTACTTTCTCTAGGGTTGTGTAATAAGAAATGCAAGTATAAGATTATATTGAATGGAGATATTTCTTCGCGTGCAAACGATGGCGTAAAAAGACTATGCTTGTTCTTTGAACGATTTATAAAAAAGCTGTAAAATGATATCGATGATTTTTCCCGCAATAACAAAGCCTTGTGAGAAATGTGTGAGAAAATAACAAATGTTTATCAAGCTTTTGATATGATTGTAAATTGTAATTAATGCTTTCGCTTACATCGTGCGTGATACGTAATCATAACTTGATGACTCGTTAGAAAGACTAAGTATAGTAACTTTAATTTGTGAACAAAAATGAAAGTTGTCTCACGCGACGAAATTAATATTATTAAAAAAATCCTGGACTTAATACAAATTAAACTTTCGAGTTTGGCGGGAAATCGAACCCAATTTAATCGTCACGTCCAGGTAAATTAGTTCGACATTGAATTATTTATCTAAATACTTAAACTTAATTGTACTTGTAGGTATTAAAATTAATACAAACCTTAATTAAGTCCAATTAGTCATTTTAAAGTCAGTCAATCCATAAGTCAAGTCACGTCACTGTCATTTTGTCACACAGTCACTGTCACGTCACTGGTCAGTCAGAAGAGAAGTTTCCATAGCTCCGTCAGTCTTGAAGATTAAAAAGAAATTTTAAATTTGGAATGACTAGACCGCGTTTTTGAATTTGGCGCGCGAAGCTGTCAGCGCGCGTCGCGCCGCCATTGCGCCGGCGCAGTACTGTCTCGTGGGGGAACGCGCGCGCGTTCAAATACTACCACTTCTTCACCGCCTCGTGTCGCAAGCACCGCTCGTTGACAAACGCCGGGTGCAGCGGAAAGCTATCGAATCGATTGGTCGTGGAACAAATCGATTTTCGAAGTCAAATCGGCATTCAGTTGCGGGTCCTGTGGTTGATGACAAAGGCAAGGCAATTAGCATTCGTAATGTCCATCTAATTGAAAACGGCTGTAATTTATGAAAAATTTACTAGGAACGAAATAGTTCTGATAAGTTTTGCAATGTGACGAAAATAACAGTTTTTTAATAACACAATTATGAAACTTGCTCACCGAAATTTTAGAGCTTAACTTATTTATTCACTTATTTCACTTTACAAAGGTTTTAAAGCTTGGGGACTGGGCTTAATAAAGTGCTCTCCCACATAAAGTGTGGGCCAATAAGCCACCAAGTATTCTATAATTATTACACCTGAAGTAAAGAAGTATTATAAGAGCTTTTAATATCGTCAGGATTCATTGTAGGCGTAAGCTCGCGCAGCTTCGTCTAGACATATTGATTTTGAGTTGACATTGAAACTAATCAGCAAATTGCGTAAAAATTCCATTACGCATTACCATAGAAAATAAAGCATTGGATGTAAATAAAAAGCGACAATAGCCCAAAGGTGTCGGTGTCGGGCGGGTTGAATAGAGATCTGAGGAACGCGGGTTTGAACCCCGCCGCCGCTAGACTACGGGTATTGTAGTGAACCCACTCGTAACACAAGCATATTTTATCTAACCACGAGGGTTTAAAGGACTCTTAAAAAAAACACTTCTAGTGATTTAGAAATTGTTCTTAATTTGGTAGAGCTTGAACTCTGAAAAAATTCAAAAAATAGTTTACCATTATTCAATTTTGACCAAGATTCGACACTTATGAACGTCAAAATAAATTAATAAGGTAACCTCTACAAAGAACTTTTAAAATTTGTGTCATGAAGACACAATTTGTGTCAAGGAGTCCGAAACTTCGAGACAAATATTTTGGCAAGTGCTGAAAATAAACGCCTGAACAATACTCAGCCTCCACTAGTTGCCACAAAGGAAAATACAGCAAAATGTAGACACGTTACCAAAATATGTTTTGTATAGTGATGTGGAAACAGGTGGAATTTAATCCCCCAACAACAGTCTGGCTCGTGGAAACTCCCCCACCCCTTCCCCGTGTAACCCCCTCAATACCTGACCCGCGCCATGTCTGTCTGTCACCATGGAAACGTTCGATCTCCATCAGATTAATATGCCACCATGAATATGATCGACTTCGACGCATATCTATTGATAAAGTTTTGCAATTAAACACTGCACTTTCGAGTTTGACGCCCGTGTTCACTAACATTACTATGAGGTCTCACAGTGTGCGTGGACGCACAGGGTGGCACACAAACCAATCACAGAGCTCTATTCAACGCTGTGCGTTCGACTTGCTGCTTCACTTAAGCAAGCATCGGGCGTGAATCTGCAAAATATTAATATTTTGAGCTAGATTCAATAGTCTGAGTTAAATATTGAACTTTCGTCGAACTCGTTTCGTCAATGAGTCTCATTTGTCTAAACCTTATTAAGAATGTAGCATTTTATTAATTCGATTCGAATTTCGAATATTAATAAAAAGTAAAACTTGTTTGTTTTAGAAATTGATCATTTTTTATTTTCATTAAATGGTTTTGCCGATTTTCGGCCTGTATCTCGTGTATTTTTTTTACTTATACCTACTTTGTACGTAGAGTTGCAACGCGATAATTTTAAGACACAGTCGAGTACTACAGATGCAAGATAAAGAACTTTCCCATTATTTTATTAGTTTAATAGACTTTTACAGGCCTAATGACTGCTAATTTACATCTAAATACTAATTTACATGTGACCTTTAGGCCTTTGACACTATCATTGAGAGTCAAGTTCATAAAGCTTACTAACATTAACACTTTCTCGTCAATTAATAAAATTATCATTAATCTTGCAATTAGTATCATCTAATTACGTTGGTGTCCCAAATGCAACATGTGGATTGTGGAGGACAGATCAAATTGTCTATTACCATATTGGGGAGGCCTATATCCAGCATTGGACTGCTATACAATCCTTACGAATATAAACCACGAAACCGATTTTGATGAAATTTGGCATAGAGATAGTTTGAGTCCCGGGAAAGGACAAGGGATAGTTTTTATCCCGGGGTTTGAAACAGGGACTGCTGTGCGCGCGTTTGAAATTTTACGCGGCCAAGCCGCGGGCAGAAATCTAGTAGGCGATAAATGATAAAAATGAAACTTAGCACATAATTGGTTCCGAACTAATGAAGTGAAATAAAATAAAATAATTCGATTCAATCGCAGTAAAGCTTCAACGATTGTAGAAATAGAAAATTACATAGCAAGCGGTGATAGTTCCGAAGTGAGTACTTTCTCGAGTCTCGGCGGACCGGTCGCGGACAGTATCAAAAGCGATACGCAATAAACTTGTAGTCGGTATGTTCTGTTGCTAAGTTTCTCTATTTATCCGATAAAATAAATAAATATCACACAGCGCATTAAATTGTAGAGTTTTTGAGAAAATTTCTTAGTTTTCTATTTTTTAGAATAATTTGTAGAGTTAAATTGCAGAATTTTTGCAATGAACAGAACAAATTATGTAAAACAATGTTCATAAAGGGCAATATTATTGCAGTGCAATGTAGAGATGATTAGATATTATAAAACACATTCTACAAAATCTATACTAGTCTATACTTAATATTATAAATGCGAAAGTAACTCTGTCTGTCTGTCTGTCACGCTTTCACACCTAAACCACTGAAGCGATTTTGATGAAATTTGTCATAAAGGCAGTTTGAGTCCCTGGAAAGGACACAGGATAGTTTTTATCCCGGTTTTTGAAACAGGGACGCGCGCGATAAGGTTTTTCTGTGACAGACAAAATTCCACGCGGGCGAAGCCGGGGGCGGAAAGCTAGTTATTAATAAACAAAAAATACAAAAAGAAATATTCAAGCTACTAAAAGTGAAATTCATAAACTAATTGATTTAATTTAGGTAGGTATTAAACTTTTATCGATTTTGATTGAAATTACGGTTATTAATTTTATTAATACTTGATAATTATTATTTATACTTGATATTATTGACATCTAGAAATAATGTGCAGTGAAGTGTAACGCGATGAAAATGTACGACTTTCTAGTAGGTACTATACTTAATACGAATTTGGTTGTTCCACTCATTGCCATAAAGGGGAGTCTACCACAGATCACAGAAACTAAAGAGAGATGTGACAAGGGGGCGGGGCCGGTGTCGCAGCAATATGCCCAAAAACAGAACACATTGCTCGTGACAGCAATGATGACAGCAGCGACGTCATAATGTAAACAGTTTACATTGCTTGCGTAGTACTAAAGATTATTCGAACGCTGAGTACTGATACCGCAGTGGATAATGAGCACAAATTATTTTGATTATTTTGTGTGTGTGAATGTGTGAGTTTCGTATTCATCTCTCTAGATATATCTCTATGGAGTCTACCAAGTCCATTTCTGCTGTGCCCGCGAGATATGGCATCGGAAACGCAACTGGTTGTGGTGGATATGGAAGATTTGACGGTCCCAGTAGTATCATTATAATTTAGTATGCATAATTCACATTTACCGAACTCAAGATGGCTCTGTTTTGATGTTTATTGCGTGTAGAAACTAAACTGGTTTGGAGTTTTCACCAGAATCATTGGAGATTATGGCCGCGTGGGAAGTTCTTTGATAATCCATTGTTCGCCGTTTATGTTTTCTACATTATTATTATGCTTTTATAACAAATTTTATAAGACTTTGCTCATAAGAAAAGGTTTTAGTTATGCACTAGGTGAAATTAAATTTTCATCTACTTTACAACCTGGAATTTTATGTTTCTGCTGTCTTCCGGTAATATATTTATCTTAAATAGCTCTACGCAATATATGGTAATACCTTTTAAGTGCACTCTTATGCCGTCAGTTTCTTTTAACTTAAATGTACTCATAACTAATAAGACCCTTATATTATGCTCTTGTTTCTTCCTTCTATTTCATACGAGAGAACCTCGAATAAAATTATTCAGTTTTGTTGCGGTAAAAATGATTTCACCGACATATGTTTCTTTGTATGAAGATTCTTCGAGAGAAGGGCTCTCACTAAAATAAAAATGTCTCTACATTCCCAATATTTTTTGATCTTGTATAATAAAATGTCTTTCAATGTAACAATAAAAATATAAAAACACAATGTAACATTCTTCAACTATATTTCGATTCTTGTAAAGCGACATGATCGTAATAATTTGACAAAACAACGCATCGGCCGCGTATTGGAGCGTGACAATCTGATGCAAAAGTACGCGGCCACCGGCGGAGATTATTTGTTTTGGTAATAATCCCACAATTATCTACAAAAAGACGCTATGCCTTTGCCAGTTATAATAATGAAACTTAATGCGTTACTTGCGATGTGCGCACGTGCGATGCAAGTAGTGTTTTTTAACCCTTACATCTCTGCGACCCAACGGTTGACTTGCTGAGAAAGCTTTTAGCATCAAGTCCACTCTTTGTACAGAAACTGTCAATTGAATTTGTCACAAATACTTATTATGTTACATTGTCGCTAGACTCTTGAGACCCTTTGTACACTGTAAATAAGTCCAAATATGTTTAAAATCTACACCTATTTGGAATCTATTCATGAAACGTAATTAATTCGGGACAAGTCAGACGTATGTAATGACTCATAATGTAATACTAGATTTGGTTATTACCACAGTAACTCTGACACTGTGACTGTCAATCATTTCTCATTCTTTCTGTAGAGCTGCAACTATTGGTGCATTACGAATGTCACAATGTCAGAAAATTTGCCGCAATTCATTAATTTGCCTCGACGCCTTCGCCGCGGATTCTTATTAACATCCCAATCGGATTTAGTAATCCTTAAGAAAACCGCAAAA